GATGGCATTCCAGTTGAACTATTTAAAATCTTAAAGGATGATGCTGTTAAGGTGCTACATTCAATATGCCAACAAGTTTGGAAAACTCAACAGTGGCCAGAGGACTGGAAAAGATCAGTCTACATCCCAATCCCAAAGAAGGGCAGTGCCAAAGAATGCTCCAACTACTTTACAACTGCGCTCATTTCACACGCTAGCAAGGTTATGCTCAAAATCCTCCAAGGCAGGCTTCAGCAGTATGTGGACCGAGAATTCCAAGAAGTACAAGCTGGAGTTCGAAGGGGCAGAGGAACTAGAGACCAAACTGCTAACATACGCTGGATTATGGAGAAAGCCAGAAAGTTCCAGAAAAAAATCTACTTCATTGATTATGCAAAAGCCTTTGACTGTGTGGACCACAGCAAACTATGGCAAGTTGTTAAAGAAATGGAAGTGTCTGACCACCTTATCTGTCTGCTGAGAAATCTATACGTGGGACAGGAAGCAACAGTTAGAACTGGATATGGAACAACTGATTGGTTCAAAATTGGGAAAGGAATATGTCAAGGCTGTATATTGTCCCCCGGCTTATTTAACTTACATGCAGAATACATGAGGTGAAAGGCCTGACTGGAGGAATCCCAAAACGGAATTAAGATTGCCGAAAGAAATATCAACAACCTCAGATATGCAGATGATGCCACTCTGATGGTAGAAAGTGCGGAGGAATTAAGGAACCTCTTAATGAGGGTGAAAAAGTAGAGTGCATAAAATGGTCTGAAGGTCAAAAACTAAGATCATGGCCACTGGTCCCATCACCTCCTGGCAAATAGAAGGGGAAGATATGGAGGCAGTGACAGATTTTACTTTCCGGGGCTCCATGATCACTGCAGATGGTGACAGCAGCCATTAAATTAAAAGATGCCTGCTTCTCGGGAGGAAAGCAATGACAAACCTTGACAGCATCTTAAAAAGCAGAGACATCACCTTGCTGACAAAGGTCCACATAGTCAAAGCTATGTTTTTTCCAGTAGTGATGTATGGAAGTGAGAGCTGGACCATAAAGAAGGCTGACCGTCGAAGAATTGATGCTTTTGAATTGTGGTGCTGGAGGAGGCTCTTGAGAGTCCCGTGGATTACAAAGAGAACACACCTCTCCATTTTGAAGGAAATCAACCCTGAGTGCTCACTGGAAGGACAGATCCTGAAGCTGAGGCTCCAATACTTTGGCCATCTCATGAGAAGAGAAGACTCCCTGGAAAAGACCCTGATGTTAGAAAGTGTGAAGGCAAGAGGAGAAGGGGACGACAGAGGACGAGATGGATGGACAGTGTCAGTGAAGCGACCAACATGAATTTGACCCAACTCCGGCAGGCAGTGGAAAACAGGAGGGCCTGGCGTGCTCTGGTCCATGGGGTCACGAAGAGTCGGACATGACTTAACGACTAAACAACAACAATTAAACTACACAACCCTTGTAACATAGTAAATTAACTTAAAAAGGGACACTGACCAGTACACAATCTGGGTTCTGTGTTACATGGAGGGAAAATGCCAACAATGCTCCAAAGGCTAGGCAGAAAGATATTATGAGAAGGACGAGCAAGCTCCTTCATTTCTTCCCTTGTATTGCCTTCTTCTGCTTCTTGCCTATCACAGAGCTCCTGAACAAAGCTTGGGGAGATACTCTTCACATCCTACCAGTGGCATGCCCTAATTCAAGCAAGTATCTACACAAGAGGATTAAGGAAAAAGGGAGTCATTCAGGACATTCTGCCAATACTACTGCTGGAAAGTATATTTGGTACTTACTTCCGAAACCCATGTAGATGCAGAAGAGGACTGGATAAAAGTAACCAAAACAAACATCGAGGACGTATTCATGCACAATAGCAGAAACAGTGAAGACTAACAGCATTGCAGCCGCCTTGAATTTTTTTCCAAAGAACTGGCCAAGACAGGGAAAGAAAGAGGGGAAGTGAATCAATGAGACAATGCCAACAAACATTCTGTGAACAGCTATTAATTGCCTGTTCATTACACGTGCAAATGCAGGCTTCTATATCTTTGCCTTTTTCTCACTTGGAAATGCTACTGTGAATTTTTTTCCCAGGCCTATGAAGAAAGCTGTACTATTTATCCAATGTGATTAAAAGAGGGCTTTAACGGGTTGCTGCTTACCCAAAGGAAATCCCTGTATACATAATAATACAACCAGTCATGTACCACCACATTCCAAGTTCGGTAAAAGTTGGCAAAAGATGTTGAATTCCACCAGTCCTGTAAGAGGGAAGGAGGGGGTGTCAGACAAGTACAGACCTGAGAATCACAGTGCCAATTATGGCCTGGCTATTCAAATATTTTTCCAAGCAGTGCAACATCCATATCTGTATTTGTTTAATTCAAGAGTACATTTCAGTGTGTATGTCTAATCTATTCTAGTTCATTTGTAATCACCACCACCTGCATCCTTCTTCCTCACAACTCCCCTAAGTAATTCATGTTGTAATTAGAGATGAGCATGAACCACTGGTTTATGCAGTTAATTTACTGGCCAAATAAGTGTTCAGCACTTCCAAGCCTCACCTCCTCTGGTGGATGCCCACTTGGAGGGAGCAAGTCAGCTTTCCTGCCTCAGCTCCTCTGGGCACTGCCTCCAGTAGTTTATGCCCATCTCCAATTATATTGTTTGTAGCTAATTCTCAAAGGCTTAAATCCAGTTTTGCCAAGGCTAATTCAAATGACATTAAAAGGAAAGCACTTCCATGGAGAAACAAGCCTGAAAAATACACTCATAAAATGAAAATACAGCTGCTGGTCAAAGTTTGAAATCTATTTCTGCTTCTGTCCTCTAGGCAGCACAAGTTGACCATCACTGGCCTGGAGCAAAAGCAGCAATTTCAGAACCAGCCTTTACAATCACTTGGAATGTGGACATTCGAAGGCTCCAGTATTTATCAACATAGACAAAACATTGTAAAGCAGTTCTGCTAATTTATAAAAACTGCCCCACTGCAGTTTACATTGCTGTTTATGTCATCAAATGTCTGATAGGGCAGAGAAGCCTTTGCTTAGTGGTATATCAGTATAGCGCATTCAACATTTCTGTAAGTGAACATTTAGCATCTCCTCCCCTGCCTCTTCAATTTTGTGCTAGGGAACTGTAAGCAAAAGCTTTAGAAAACAGCATCAAGGCTATGGGTCTTGTACCTCACTTACCTTATAGAACATTCTGTCTCCAAAACACAACATCTCAGCAAAAGCATTAAGCCAGCAGTGAAGAAATGAAAAAAAGACCAGGAGCAAAATCAACACACCTGGGAAAGCAAAAACAAAACATTACTGCATTTGCATCATAACACTAATGTATTGCAGTAAAGGAGGAAACGACTGTGCACAACCCCACATCGAACTAAAACATAATGGATGAAGAAGGTTCATATATATTTATATACTACAAATATACACAAATATTGCTAAGGATGATTTTACAAAGTACATTCTTGGGGAATAGCCTAAAAGATTGAGCTTGATTGATCTGTGTCATTCACCTTTAGGGTTTTTTCCGTATTCTTTCAGTAACAGAAATTTTGGTAGACTGCAGCGCTAGGAGCTGAACCAAGGACAAAGTCCAACAATTATTGCTCCATTCATTTCTTGCCAAGGTTTGCTACTATTACAGCTGTCATCATACTGATTGAAACCGTTGGACCGTTGGTCCAGATAGGCGGGATAAAAATCAATCAATCAATCAATCAAATAAATAAATACATAAATAAATAAATAAAATAAAATAAAATAAATAAAAAGGCACAAAACCTGTCCCCTATCCCTACACCCAACCTATAAAATTATTTTTAAAAAAGGCACAAAAGAACTCACCTGGAAGAATGGAGTTGAAAATGCAAAGGACCAGACCTCGTAGATTGAAGTTCTCCTGACTGTAATTCCGATATATAGGAATACAGAGTCGCACAAAGATGTAGTAAGCATAAAAGAGAGAACCAAGTACCTGGACGGGGGAAGGGGGGGGGAAAGAACTATTCACTATAAAAGCAACATTAAAAAGTAGTGTCATACCAGTTGTCAAGGTTCATAGATCTACACTACAAATGGGGAATCATGCCAGTCTACTTAGAAGTAATTACTTTCTTCAGAATTTGGCTGCAGTTACATCAATCAAACATCAAAAGCAGCTAGATTTAAACCAAGCCCTGCCTTTTGAATATTTTAAGGTTTCCTGGAAGATATAAGCAGACAAGGAGAAAAGAAATCAAGCCACAAATACCTAAGGAAGCAGCCAGCTTTGGCCAGTTTTTCCACCAGCTATCTCTCTCGTTGTTGCTCTACCAAAAATAATTACTAACCTGTGCAAACTTAGTAGCTACATAGCTCCATCTTCTTGTGGGAGTCCTGAAAAAAAAAGTGAGGCTGCAGCATTACTAAGTGAATTTTGGACTGGGCTGTCAACAATCCAATATCTGTTTTAGTACAAACAAAATACAATAATTTTAATGAAATCTTACTGTAGGGAAATCTAGTTTATCTCTATGACTTCATTCAATTTGCATGGTAGATTCTAAATTGGGTTGTTGCATATTTATTGCTGATATGCTTGCTATTAAAAACACCAGTGCAAGAAAAGAGAAATAAATGAAGGTAGTAGGGACTGCTACTGGGGGAATGGAACAAAGCTCTGGGAGACATATAGACAAACCTAAAATACAGAAAACAAATATGTAAAGCCAAACTCTGGTTTTGTGTGTGTTAAATCAGCATCACAAACAAGAGGACTAGCAGCATTTAAAAAAACACAAACTAGCAAGACTCAACACTTGCTGTACTCCCCGTCAAGACACTGGGCGTTCAAGTCAAGCCATGCCATGAGATTTGTTTCAAAAATTGTCAAGTTTCATGACAGTTAGCTGTATTTGTAAAATGTCCACACAGTCCTGCCTCAAGAACAGTAAGAAATTATATCAGTTCAGTGCTAGAGCAAGAACAACTGCTATTGCATTTCACAACCCCAATTCATTACGAGAAGCCTCTAGTCCTTTTTCTGTCATTCTGCTAAATTCACAGCTGATTCAAATATTTCAAAAAAAGTTTGACAACCTTTGTGGGGCTAAAGCACTTCATAAAAGGGAGAAGAGCTTTCTATTGGAACTTATCCTTATATCAAAAAGTCATACTTGTGAAAGGAACTTTCCAAAGCTGCGCAAGAAGTCCCCATTTTAGGGGGGAAATCAGTCAAGAGAGGAAGTGAAAGCCTGATGCACTGCTTTCTGTTTGTGGAGGCATTCAAATATAGAATGTCCCCTTTCAACACAGAGAAAATGCTATCTCCTCCTCCTACATACTGAAATCAGCATTCTTGTGAGTATTATTCCTCAAACTTTTCTAGGTCTAGTTCAGGCAAGAAACCTGAAACAAGACTTTCACAAGGACACTGATCCTGAGTGCTCCATTTATAGGAGAAATTATCACACACAACTAGCAGCAGGCAGATGTTTGCTGCTCTCATAAAAAGACTGCTCATTCAATGGTTTTTTGTATACGAATATCCTCCCACAGGTGGATACTAAAAGAGTCATCTGGGAGCACATTACACTCACCATGTGATTGATCAGTCTGCTTGTTGAGAATGTTCCTGCCCCCTTCCGGAAACTCAAAAAATGTATCAGCTGCCAAGAGGAGGGGTAAGAGGAAGATAAACAGTGGAACAAAAAAGGGAACCAGGGACTCTCATACTGGAGGAGTGACTTAAGACTCTGTACATCCTGTGAAAAAGGATATCAGAACTCTCAAGAGGCACAGGTCTTACACTGTGGGGTTGCTTTCTCATAGCAGCTCTAACATTTAGACAGGCCCAATGGACAGGGGTGGGAAACGGGTAGCCCTCCAGATGTTGCTGCACTGAATCTCCAATCAACAGCTAGTCAGCACTGTCAATGACGAAAGCTGGTGGAAGTTGCAATCCAAGAGCCAGAGAGCCACAGATTCCACACCCATCATAGTAGATCTAGTGACTGATGAATGTTGAGACCTGGCTATAACTTTGTCAACACACATGCAAGTTGAAATGAAGGGATCTATATAATAAAATATTCTACTATTCTGAGAAGTTAATTCATGCAGGTTTATTCATATTTACATTACCTGGGATAATCATCTCTGTAAATAAGAGTGGGAGCAAAGAGAAAATACAAATATTGAGAAACCCGAGGAAGTTGAAGAGAGTCTGAAAAAGTAAGCAGGAAACAATAATTTAACACCAGGTTATAATATATACTAAAAAATAAAGCCACGATGCCTGTCTCACTTCCTATAATCACCTACTTTATTTATAGGATATACATTAAGCAATAATCATTTTTATCGTAGCAGCACGGTAAAAAAAAGATTGCTTTTTTCTATTCACATCCTATTACTCTTAGCCAATTTCTTTAAAAAGTTATCAAGACCACTTAGAAAGTCTGTGCAAAGATCCACTCTTCCTAGGCTCCCATACAGTGGTGCCTCGCATTACGACGTTAATTCGTTCCAGCGAAATCGCTGTAGAACGAAAACGTCGTAAAGCGAAATTAAAAAGCCCATAGAAACGCATTAAAACCCGTTTAATGCATTCCGATGGGCTTAAAACTCACCGTCCAGCGAAGATCCTCCATAGGGCGGCCATTTTCGCTGCCTGTGCAGCGAGGAATCAGTCCCAGAAAACAGCGGGGGCCATTTTGTTTACCCAGCGGCCATTTTGAAACCGCAATCAGCTGTTCTAAAACCATCATTTTGCGAAGAATTGGTTCCCGAAGCAGGGAACCGATCATCACAAAGCCAAATTCCCCCATAGAAAACATCGTGAAGCGATCACAAAAAGTTCATCGTAATGTGGTTTCATCATTAAACGGAGCGATCGTAAAGCGAGGCACCACTGTATTAAAGAAAATGAAAAATTGCAGTTGGTTATCTTCACCCTCTCAGCAATTATGACAGCTGATACCAATCCAAAGTCTAGGATTATCTGTGATTGACTAAAAGTGTACTGTTACACCAATAAGCCTTAGGACACCAGCAATACAGCAGTCTTGTAGGACACAGAATAATTGTAATGTTGACTGAATCGATAAACCTTTGAATAAGGAACAGATAGCCTATGCTTGGAATAGCAAGAGGACAGGATGTCCTTGTTTATAAAACAACAGAAATCTAGCTGGATAAAATTACTCACTTGACTTCTGAGTGGGACAGGAGACAACTCGAGGAACATTTTCCCTGATTAAAGAGTAGGCTTTCATAATGAAGCGCACCTGCAAGGAGATTTGGAAAAACGAGAAGTCTTTGAAATCTTCAAGAAAATGGCTTTAGCAACAGCTCAAAGAAACAAGGCAAAGGATAAGTTCTCTTTCATTAATTATTGTGGTGATCCCCTAAATGGTGAGTGGGCAGGTGGCTGACTTATAGAATCTAATTTAAAAATAATAAAAACCCAATACTTAGTAACCAAACTGAGAACTAGGCAAGTCTTGCTGGCAGGGCCAGTCTTTCCACCAGGCAAAGTGAGGCAACCTTTAAAAGTGCCAGGTACAGAGTGGCAATAGCAACCACCTCTCCCTCACCCCTGAGGGCTGTCTTCCTTCTCAGCTTGTCCTCACTCTGTAAACCAGCCTGCTGTCCTCAAGTGTGGTAACAGAATGATATTCAGTTACTTCATGCTATAGAAGAGTCAAGTGCCAGTCCACTCTTTTGTTGTTGTTACTGTTGAAGGAATAGAACAAAGTGCCATTTTGTTCATTTCCGTAAGCAGCAGTATGTCTTGGGCTGCTTACTCCCTGAAAAGGGCAAAGGTGCTATCACTGAGAAAACTGTCTTTGTTTAGCACACACTTCATCTCAAGTGGCCATTGAAAGAGAAGGGTTTCAAAGGATGGCCATGTGGATGGGTGGGTGGGTATGCGAGGGGGGGGAGAGAAAATAAAAACGGCCACAGTGCCACAGAACTGGAGAATAAGCTTTTAAAAGAGAAGAAGGGGGGACTCAGCAAACTACAGGCCGGTTAGCCTAATGTCTGTTCCAGGGAAGATGGTGGAAAGCCTCATCCTAGATAAAATCTTAAAACACATAGAAGAAAAAGCCTTGCTGAGGGAAAATCAGCATGGCTTCTGTAAGGGTAAGTCTTGCCTCATAAACCTTTTAGAATTCTTTGAAAAGGTCAACAGGCATGTGGATGCGGCCAAACCAGTGGATATTGTCTATCTGGATTTCCAGAAGACGTTTGACGCGGTCCCTCACCAAAGACTGCTGAGAAAACTCCACAGTCTTAGGATAAGAGGGCAGTTCCTCTTATGGACTGAGAATTGGTTGAGAACCAGGATACAGAGAGTAGATGTCAATGGGCAGTTTTCACAATGAAGAGAGGTGAAGGGCAGTGTGCCCCAGGGATCTGTCCTAGGACCAGTGCTTTTCAACCTGTTCATCAATGACCTGGAGATCAGGATAAGTAGTGAGGTGGCCAAGTTTGCAGATGACACAAAACTCTTCCGGGTGGTGAAGACCAGAACGGATTGTGAAGAGCTCCAGAAGATCTCTCCAAACTGGGAGAATGGGTGGCAAAATGGCAAATGCATTTTAATGTAAGAAAATGTAAAGTAATGCACATTGGGGCAAAAAAAATCCAAACTTTAGTTATCAGCTAATGGGTTCTGAGCTGTCCATAACGGATCAGGAAAGAGATCTTGGTGTGCTGGTGGACAGCTCGATAAAAGTGTCAACCCAGTGTGTGGTGGCAGTGAAGAAGGCCAATTTCATGCTAGGGATTATTAAAAAGGGGACTGAAAATAAAACAGCCAACATTATAATGTCATTCTACAAAACGCTGGTAAGGCTGCAACTGAAGTATTGCGTCCAGTTCTGGTTGCCGCACCTCAAAAAATACATTGTGGAACGGGAAAAGGTGCAGAAGAGAGTGACTAAAATTATGACTGGGTCGGGCCACCTCCCTTATGAGGAAAGGCTACAACGTTTGGGGCTCTTTAGTCTAGAGAAAAGGTGCCTGGAGGGGACATGACTCAGCTATACAGTATAAAATTATGTAGGGGATGGATGAAATGGATAGAGGGAAGCTCTTTTCCCTCTCAAGCAATACCAGAACAAGGGGACGTCCACTCCAATTCAGTGTTGGGAGGGTGAGAAGTATGTGGAACAAAAACGCCCAGAAGTACAAGCTGGATTCCGAAGAGGCAGAGAAACTAGAGACCAAACTGCTAACATGTGCTGGATTATGGAGAAAGCCAGAGTGTTCCAGAAAAACATCTACAGTGGTGCCTCGCATAACGAGCGCACCGTTTAACTACGAATCTGCATAGCGATGCGGATTTTGCAATCGAAAAAGCAATCGCATTGCGATGTTTAGATAGGGTAAACATCACATTGCGATGATCAGTAAGCGTTTCACTTAGCGATCTTCGCATTGCAATGTTTTTAAACAGCTGATCGGCGGTTCCAAAATGGCCGCCGGATGAAGAAAATGGCCACCCGCAGCGTTTTCACGCCGATTCCTCGCTTACCGAGGTGGCGAAAATGGCAGCCGGATTGAGGATTTCTGCTTAGCGGTGAGTTTTGTCCCCATAGGAACGCATTAAACAGAGTTTAATGCGTTCCTATGGGGTTTTTAGCCCCGTATAGCGACGTTTCCGGATAGCGACGTTTTTCCTGGAACGGATTAACGTCTCTATGCGGGGCACCACTGTACTTCTGCTTCATCGACTACGCAAAAGCCTTTGACTGTGTGGACCACAGCAAACTACGGCAAGTTGTTAAAGAAATGGGAGTGTCTGACCACCTTATCTGTCTGCTGAGAAATCTATACGTGGGACAGGAAGCAACAGTTAGAACTGGATATGGAACAACTGATTGGTTCAAAATTGGGAAAGGAATATGTCAAGGCTGTATATTGTCCCCCGGCTTATTTAACTTACATGCAGAATACATGAGGTGAAAGGCCTGACTGGAGGAATCCCAAAACGGAATTAAGATTGCCGAAAGAAATATCAACAACCTCAGATATGCAGATGATGCCACTCTGATGGTAGAAAGTGCGGAGGAATTAAGGAACCTCTTAATGAGGGTGAAAAAGTAGAGTGCATAAAATGGTCTGAAGGTCAAAAACTAAGATCATGGCCACTGGTCCCATCACCTCCTGGCAAATAGAAGGGGAAGATATGGAGGCAGTGACAGATTTTACTTTCCGGGGCTCCATGATCACTGCAGATGGTGACAGCAGCCATTAAATTAAAAGATGCCTGCTTCTCGGGAGGAAAGCAATGACAAACCTTGACAGCATCTTAAAAAGCAGAGACATCACCTTGCTGACAAAGGTCCACATAGTCAAAGCTATGTTTTTTCCAGTAGTGATGTATGGAAGTGAGAGCTGGACCATAAAGAAGGCTGACCGTCGAAGAATTGATGCTTTTGAATTGTGGTGCTGGAGGAGGCTCTTGAGAGTCCCGTGGATTACAAAGAGAAATAACCTATCCATTCTGAAGGAAATCAACCCTGAGTACCAACTGGAAGGACAGATCCTGAAGCTGAGGCTCCAATATTTTGGCCATCTCATGAGAAGAGAAGACTCCCTGGAAAAGACCCTGATGTTAGGAAAGTGTGAAGGCAAGAGGAGAAGGGGACGACAGAGGACGAGATGGATGGACAGTGTCACTGAAGCGACCAACAAGAATTTGACCCAACTCTGGCAGGCAGTGGAAGACAGGAGGGCCTGGCGTGCTGTGGTCCATGAGGACACGAAGAGTTGGACACGACTTAACGACTAAACAACAACAAAGAGTGAGAACAGACAAAAGAAAATTCTTCTTTACCTAGCATGTTGTTAGTCTGTGGAACTCCTTGCCACAAATGTGGTGATGGCATCTGGCCTAGATGCCTTTAAAAAGGATTGGACAGATTCATGGAGGAAAAGTCCAGTGCAGGTGACAAGCCATGATCGAGATGTATAATTTCCAGGCTTAAAAGGAAGGTACCTCAAAATGCCAAATGCAGAGGAGGGGTATCAGGAGATCTAGTTGTCTCATGTGCTCATAGAGGCATCTGGTGGTGCCACTGTGAGATACAGGAAGGTGGACTAGATGGGCCCTTGGCCAGATCCAGCAGAGCTCTTCTTTATGTTCTTATTCTGCAGCTACCAAAGACTTTCCCAAGACGAAAGGGCTCCCTATGCATTTTCAGAACCTGGGAGGGGGTGGGGACTAGGAAGTTTTTTATTACTCCCAAACAGTCGTGGTTGATGACATTATCCATGTTGCATGGCATAGAATTTCAGCCACTGAATGAAAGATGCTCCAGTATCATAAAATACATGCTAAAAAACAATATTTTGATAATTGAAGCTTTATGAAACAATTGAATACTTAATTGTTTTACTGTATTTTCATGAAAAATGAATTTATATTCCATTCCCTTATACTGCCTTTTAGGCACTGAAACTCACCTGTTCCATTATAACTATGGCTGATGAAGCAGGTGGCAGTTCATAGGTCAATGTAATGTATGTAGGAATAAATCCAAGCCAAACTGTCTGGAATATCATGAAGAGAACGCCAAAGGAGGAGGAGCGGATGATCTTGTGGAAGGAACTGTGATAACCTTTGGCCCACTGGATAAAGAGTCCATATGGCATAACCAGCGTAGACAGGAACATATAAAGCCAAGTAAAAGCAACAACTGAAAACCCGCCAAAAGCGTAGACCAGAAGATCAAACTCTAGCACCAACCTTCAAAGACATTCAAACAAAACAAAAAATTACACCTCATTCATTCGGTCAAAGCATATTTTTCTAGGCAGAATCAGTAACAGTTTCTGATCTCCTTATCAAAAAGGATCACTCCTGCATTTTTAAAGTCGTAAATATCCTCAGGAATATATATTAATCTTTACACTATAAATTGTGAAAGCAAGCACATGTATCATACAATATGCACTTGCCAGAGACCCAGGATTGGGTCTGTAACAAGCAAAAATTTGAGGCAAACCTGTCTTTCATCTGATGTAATATGCCAAGCTGATATTTTTATGGTGTATCTTCTGAAATTCTATATGCTGAACCTTGATTTTCAATGGTCACATGAAAAAAGTGTAATGTCTAGAGGTTGCCTAAAAATGTCAACCTAGATAGAAGTAAGCCTCATGAGTTTGAGACATACTCCTAGATATAGTCATTGAGTCAATCCTAAGCATGCTTACACAAGAAACAGATCCTGATGTGTTCTCTCTGTAGCCATAGGCTCCTCACCCCCAACCAGGTAGAAAGGTACAGACAAGCACAAAAGCATACCAGCAGGTCCCAGGTGGTTCAGATAAAGTTTTTTGGGCTTTATGAACACATGCAGTTCAAAAGATACCAGAATTTCCTCAAAATTCACAGATAAAAAGAAACATTCAGCACAATTTTATAACTGATGTCTGAAACTACATGGACAGTGCTTGGGCGTTGGCATTGTTTTCTGCAACTTAGTGGCTAACATATTTTTACTGGCATATTTAATTTCAGTGGGTACAGTAAGAACTGAATTCTCATTTAGTATGTGTGGTTTTTTTTCCTGTGTGATTGACACAGCTGTTTGAACACAATCTGCACTAGGGATGTCCTAGTTCCCCTAAAAACAAACAAGCTATTTCTGATTAGCACCTCCCTTGTTCCAGAAAAAAAGTATCTGGCAGTGCTTACTCTTAAGGACCTACTGCCCATGATATTCACAAAATGCTACTTTTCTTTAAACACAATTTCCTCTTTAGCTAGAACAGAAACAGAAAGTGCTTGTAGCTTTAGGGGCACCAAAATGTACTAAGGATCTTGAAAGGAGAAATTTGTTTAGTGTACATAGTAGTTATTTCCATTGCACAATTAATGCAATGTGTTTTCCTCCAAATTCCTTGACTGCAAGAAAATCACACTCCCATTATGTCTTGAGTGACAGGACAGATGTGGTTCTTGCCTCATCGTAACACAAGTACTAAAAGCAAAACTCAGTGTGGCAGCTGTAGTGTTACCTGGGATCCTAACTGCAGTCAAGTACTTGCCCACTTCCTTTTCAATGATTTCACCAAGATACTTTTGAACAACCAGTTGGAGGCTGTACGTAATGTATTTAAAAAGCAATAATTTCAGGAAGTTGGTTAGTGTTGCCTTTTTGCACTTCCAATACTCACTGTACTTCTTTTTAGTTCCTATGACTATAGTGATGTAAGTGTGACAAATAACTTTAATTAAAAATCTACTAGCCCCTTCAAAATTCTTACCTCCCTTCATCAATGAAGTCTACCACAAGTGTGCTGAGAATGAACAAGATGAGGATAGCAATGAACATGTTGTAGATGGTCTGGATGTGATCCACTTCAAATAGCTCACTAAGAGGAAAACATGTTTAAGTTACAGAGTAAAACAGTTCTGAAAAACACACATACAAGATTCCTGCCATTGTAATTTTACAAGACATGCTACAATGACTATGGCTTCCTGTGGTTGAACTCTAGACATTTGTAACATTTACAACTTCCTTTTGAAGTTCACAAATTCATAGATTTTTCATAAGGAAAAGTGACTTGACAGCATATAACAAAAACCAGACATTCAATGAATTCCTATTCTGATTGGTCCACACCTGTGACCCATAAAGAAGCTGTGCGATAATTTTTATGTTAAATTACTTTGATGTGGAGACTATAATGTCTGCCTCTAGAGCTCTAAAACCACATCTAAACACTCAAATGTCTGCAACTGTTCTATAATCATATTATCCAGTTTCCAGAAATACTGTGCAATCTTTTCCAAAAGATAATCACTTCAGTCTTCTGGCAATGAGGCTGAAAAACTTCACTTTTAGACTTGCTGAAATATATGACTGCATTTTAGATCAGTGGTCACAAATATACATCCTTTCCTACATATGCTCCTTTTTTAGCTTTACTGAAACAATCAAAGGTATCAAAACAGGAGAGGTAAACTATTCTGACCCAGAGACTCAATTTCTTTCTAGATTACTTCTTGAAGGCTTGATGACACCCCCTCTTTACTCAAACCTCCACCACCTATGCCAAAGACATAGCAGGGAACATATTCCATGCTTCTTTGTGAAGGGAGACAGGGACCACCCCTTTTCCATTCAGAATTATCTCTTCATGCTTATGTATATAGGGAGAAAAGGCAGTTCTTCCGTAATTCTGGAACAGAAACGTTGTTCCCTTCTCCAGTCACTAACTAAAGCTACAGAATTATTTTCCCAAAGCTAGATGCAGTCTCCCTCCAGAACTGGTAAAGTGGATCAGGTTTGGCAGAGAAATACATAGGTTAAACCCTGCTCAAAGGCCAGAACTTCGGGTGAATTTCTTCTATCTTAACAGAAATTAAGAAATACATTGCTAACAGCCATGGCAAGAATATTTGAGCATCTATGTTTCATTGTTTGCCATCATCATTTAAAATAAAAATATACTTTGGGGAAAAGGAAAGTCTACCTAAGAAGCAGTTTTGGGCCAACAAAATGGAAGCCCCTCCCCAACCATTCCAAACCAAACCAAAGATTCTGAGCAGCATCCTTCAGAACTATCACTTGTGCCCAGCATATCTGTAGTTATAAAAATCTGACAGAACCTTCAACTCAAACAAACACAACAAGTAACATTGTTAGTTAAGAAAGCAAGAGCAAGGCTCATCATTATGCTCTTCCTGGCCTTGAGTGTCAGTATTGCAGGGACATGTCCTTGGAAGGTTATTTATCTCAAAACCAGGAAGAAAACAAGACACTCTGCTATCAAAGGGAAGGCTAAAACCATAATTTACGTCAAGGAGAACTGAGCAGAATTCTAACTGGAGATCAAAATATTGAAAAAATCTGGGCATTTCTAACTAGCACAAGGACTGGAAGCAGGGAGTGTACAGGCCAGAGCAAGGAATCAAATAAATTTCATTGGAACTCAAGCTCTGTTACCAAAGTTTAATCAGAATGTGGTAAAATGTGTTCATGGTTTCTTTCATAATACAGGAGAGGTGAACGATAGCAAATAGCAGGAAGAGGACGGCTATAACAAATCCCCACTTTGTTATAAAACTATTGCTCCTCATTAAGGGAGATAACTCTGCGACAGAGGTCCACTCTCCAATTCAGAAAGCTCCAGTCACATGACGACAGAAAGATCTTTGCGTGGGATTCTGAAAAAATGCTGCCAGACAAAGCAGACATATTGGACTAGATGGACAGACAAGTCTGATATGGTAGAAGCAAGATTAGGGCACCCAGCTCCCCTGGACTATGAACACCCATGGGTGTTAAATGATGCAGACTTTATTAGAGCACATGACGATTGATAAGGCAGGTTGCACTGCTAAGCAAAACAGATTGCTGACCAATAACTGTAGAACATTTCCTGCATAATAGGACAGTCTCTTTAAATATGAACTCTGATTATTCTGAGCTTCATTCCTGGCTAATTGGTTAGGCCACTCAACAGCACTAACTCTGTTACAAATGCCTACTTCTGGTCAACACAAGTATAAAGAGAAAAAATGATTCAATGGTTGGAACAGATGAAAGATGGAACTTTTCGTGCCATGCTGTGCTTTAACTGTATTCTTCTAATAAAACGAGGCAACACTTACATAAGCAAAGTTGCACTCTCATTAAATGAATGTACTTACTCCAAGAGAGACTTCCTAATAACAAAAACTTTTCCATGTTCTGGAGGTGCTCTTGATTCTCTATGGAAAAAAATATATATATATCAGTATTGAGGGGTCGGCATAAAAGAAATCAATTGTTATAGGTTAAGCCAAGAATCAACATACTTGTTTATGAAGCTGTCTTTTTCTTGACAAGATGCAGGGAAAGTGGATGGTGAAGACTCCAGCAGCACAGACTTCGCAATCAAGCCATTTACAAATTCTGTGAAGTGACTGTCAACCCCTTTCATGAAAGCTGGCTTCAACTGCTGGTAGATGCAAGGAAGAAAGGGGAGAGAGAAAATAAATAGCAGCTTCAGCATCTGCATCCTGAGTTTACATGCTGATGTTGCCCACTACCCTTTATCTTCCAACATCATGCCAAAAGAGAATGTCAAATCAGGAATAAGATCATATGGGCACATAATTTACTCTAAACTGAACTCTTATTAACCTAATTGGTAGAGCTTTCGCTGCGTGTACAATATCTGGAATTTCCATTTTATATTATGCACAAAACGTTTGTATTCTACTTCAGGGCTACTGCAAAGTTTAACAGAGATGGAAAAGTGAATCAGGGTCTACTTATGTATCACTGGACAATCTGGAGTAGATTAGTCAAGGTTTCTGTTCCTGAGACCAGGATCCTGTTAGGTCCAATGATGCATAAAGCCTTGCAAGTGCAGTAATGTGTTTCCCAGGCTACTTTCACTAACCAGATGTAATCATAAATAGAAAGCTCATGCTTGCACAAGAGAGTCCCAGATCTTTCCCTTGCTAATACTAAAATAGTCAAACTGGTCACAGCTTTATAGGTGTTGATAAACAATGTAATAATAATCTTAGAACTGAAGAGCTGGAAGGGACCCTATGGATCATTGAGTCCAGCCCCTGTCAAGGAAGCACAGTGAGGAACTGAACTCCCAACCTTTGGCTCCATAGCCTCAGGCCTAAACCACTGAGCTATCTAGCAGTTCTAGGTTAACTAGTGTTCCAATTCTGTGGCTGTTCTATGCAGATGGAAAATACATACTATAATATTCACTTGTGTACAGCTGGCAATTTAAGAGTCCCCACTGAGATTCATAGGTGTAAATTAAGCTAGCAGGTGCACATGTCTCTGAGAATCAAAGTTGATAGCTCTTACATGTCGAATGGAAGTGAGTGACTGCTTACACCATTTACCTTCTGCCCTCATAGTTGCGCAGCAGGATTTTATCCAATATGCAGCAGTTATATATACATACAGTATATAAATTAGAAGTTAGATCATGTGGCATAATTGGAATTGCCCTTTGCTTGATTTGGAATCAACAGCCTGTAGTGGCCAGCTTTCTCAGAAAGCATTTAGTGCAGAAAGTGTTTCTGTCTGTTTTCCAGTCTGATGTTATGAATCAATGGAGTACTTTTAGGAAAATATGCTTAATTTGGAATATGGCTGCATTTGGTATTTCAGCTGCCTTACCTTTCCCCCAAAATGAACATATCTTGGACCAAAGAATTATTTAAATCATAAAAGGGAAACGACAGACAAAACATTTGTCAGGAATAGAGAGAGGCACAGTTATAAAGCTGTGGCCAGAAAAAGTTAATTCCAATTTATATGTTTTATGTAATTTCCAAAACAAGTAGTGTATCACTGATGGAAAGAACAATGGCTAAAGAAATTCAATTTGAAAACCTTTTCATTCAGGATTTCTCATATTAAAAGCATGGCAAGTGTGTGACTAAATGAGTGTTATTAAATATCTTGCATGGCAAAAATGTGACTAAATATCAAAAATTGATATTCTGCACTTCTACCATTCTTCAAAAGCAGAAGTTGTAATGGTTAAAACCTTTTGCATACTATCCTCCCAAGAACAAACAAGTGTGACAGGAATTTCAAGTTTCCTCTATGTCCTGTTTCGCTAACCAAAGGCAGTATTTTTAGACCTGAGAGTTGTATAATCTGTTACTATTGGGTATCCGATCAACACAGTGTGAAAAAAAAAGAATGGCAAGAGAAAGGAAGGGAAGACAGGCTACAGAGATCCTGCTATCAGTGCACACTGGTGCATATTGAGCAAATGTTGCCTGATCTTGCCTAGCACCAACCCTATGATTGTTTTGAAACTGGTCTGGAAAGGGTGGCTCATTGCTGCTACTGGAAGACACTTTCAAATCTTGCAAACTTTGGATGGTTTTTGTTGTTTTTTGTATGCGTTTGCAACTGCCATGTCTCATTAACTGAATGGAGGGTGGCTCCAAAGACTTCTACAGTATCTTCTCCTTCTCTCTCTCATGCACACGCACACACGAACAATGTAGGAGCGTTATGCCTAGAAACAACATTTTACAAAAATTAATATCAGCTGCAAGTTCTATCAGCAAGAGTGAAGTTCTACCATAAAGTAAGAGAATGATATTAAGCACAGAAACATAGGAGAGCTTCATACTATTTGGGTACTTTTCTTTGCCAACAGATACTCAAACTAATATTCAAATACAGTAGTTTTACCTCAGCTTCTGCTGAGAGCTGCATCTTCCTCATTACATGTTCAGCACCAATTCGACCTAAGAGAAAAACAAATAATTAGTGTATTTTCTTCAGCATAGACTGCTAGCCCACAGAAATATGAAAAAAGAAACACAGAGAAAGATTTTTCAGTCACTTGCCTGTCCACACACATTTCATTTCAGTCTGTTCAGTAAATGAGTAATATATGTGTTACTCATTTACTGAACAGACTGAAATGAAATTTTAAAAGGCCCAACACATTCAAGTTACAAAAGCTTCTCTGAATAGAGTGGATTCCTATTCATTGTAGACAAGTGGCTTTTCACAAATAAATGTTCAAACTGAAGTTAACTGATGCAAACAACTGTTAAGGGGCTGGTGCTCCCTGGGAAGATGATGCTATGTTTGGGCAAGAGACACTTCCTCCTCATTGGAAACTAGTAATCATTAGTTCTAGCCTAGTCTTTTTCCTGACATGCATTTTCCCTGAAAATGATTTCATTCAATTTCCCATGTTCCAAAAACAGTCAACCAAAAGCATAAAGTTTGCACTGAAATTAAGAAGGCAGGTTACATGAAGATATATAAAATAAAAATATTTTAAATATAAAATAAATACTGTATAGCTATGCCCACTTTTTAAGACATTTGTTTTAACTGTAGAATTAAAATTGGCATTTTTTCCTTATGCACAGAAAAAAAATCTACCTGCTGTCACATTACCTGGTACACTTTTATCAGGGCAGAAGGGTTCAGTGTTTTCTTAGCACTTATCTAACATATAGCTAGTTCCAGATATTTGCCCCGTGTCAGAAACATAGAGGGTCCATGGATCACTCTGTTAGAAACACCAGCTTCTAATAGCTCTTGGGATTTATCCACAGGACTTTGGATGTTATGACAGGAACAAGTGATAACTTATCAGCTCCTGGAAATGTTTGCTTTACCTACAACTTCTTCAGGCTTCAGAAAAAGGGAACAACATACCACTGCGTATGGAATTCTGCTTTCAGACACTCTTGGTAGCATTTCTATTTCCTTCTCCATTGTTTAAGAGAGCAAATAAGCCAAGATATACCGTATTTTTCCATTTATAACACACACACCCCTTTTCTAACCAAAACATTAAGAAAACTTATCTCTGGGCTCAGAATGTCAGACATTTTAATCCCTGTTGAACCTGAGCCTACAGGCTCCACCTCCAAAGAGGTGTGTTTCAATTGGTTTGTTCATGATCAGCTGACATCAGTTCCATAAGGCTCATGATTGGAGGAAGCTAAGTCTCCTGACTGTAGGAAGCTAAGCTTCGTGACTGAAGGAAGCCTGTTTACAGAGGCAAGGTATGTGCAATTTTGTTCTCTCTTCAGCTATCTTAGCTTACTTCTGTGTTAAAGACGCCCCTCCATTTTTAGTGTAATGATTTTAGGAAAAAGTAGTGTCTTATACACAGAAAAATACGGTATCTTGAATGTTGTGCAGCTATTAACATCTAAAAATCAGGAGCTGTATAAGGTTTCCACAGTGCTTCAGTGTCCTGTATCAATCACTGTCCAGCTCCATCATTAGCAAACCCAGAATAAACTGTGTAAAATAGTAACCATAGGATTATTAAAAATAAATGCAATCATACAATTGTGATTAATTTATAGGATTGGCATGTTTACGTTCTTGGACTACAGCTCTCAGAATTCCACAAGTAGCCTATGAAAACACAGAATTAAGTTTTTATTAGCACAGAGTTAGGATTGCCTAGAGACACAGAATTAAAACTACTTTAATGCAGAATATACAAAGCTCCTGGCTATGTGCCAGAGTCCAAGTAGTGACATTTACAAGAGTCCGTAGATAAGACTACTTTCCAGATAATTAGAATATGAAACCAGATTCAAATAGGGTGAATTTGATTTAAATCATTATTTAAATTTTTAAAATTGGATTTTTTTCTGATTCAAACATTAGATTTTTTTTTTAATCATCTATTTTTATCTACTATGCTTCAAACCCTGGTTTCCACTGCTGTTTAAACATAAAATATAGATGTATATTTTATTTTAGACATTTTAATACAACATTAGGCTAGCAGACATCTGCTAATACAATGGAAATTTCTCTCTCAGTACTCTCCACCACTCTGCTATAGTCCTGCACACAGCTCAAAATTTTACTCTGAATGGTGTGCCAGCCAGAATCAGCTGGTAAGGAGAGCATGAATTGCTCATGTTCCCTCTTCTGCTAACAGAAGCAGTGAAATTAACCATTCGATCCTACCTACAGATTTTTCTCTTGAAATAAACATTTAAAACAAACAAACAAATAAGGCAAGACAAAGGCTGTGTGGTACCCAAGATTACACAAATGCAAGAGTGGGGATACCTTTTACAGTGATAACTCGACTTAAGAACTTAATCCGTATTGGGACTGCATTTTTAAGTCGAAATGTTCTTAAGTCGAAGCACCATTTCCCATAGGAATGCATTGAAAACCATTTAATCCGTATCTGCTGTTTTTCGTTCTTAAGTCGAGGCGCTGTTCTTACGTTTTAACATTAGTTCCCACAGGAACTAATGCAAAGCCAGTTAATCCGTATCTACTACTAGGGGGCAAATTTTTATTATTTTTTCTTCTTTTGACCTAAAGTGAAGAACTTAGGTAAAAAAAGGGAGCAGGAAAGTTTTTCCCCCCTTTTTATGGTTCTTAAGTTGAGGCTCCGTTCTCAAGTTGAAGCAACTTTTTGCGAATGGAGCCGTTCTTAACTCAAATTGTTCTTATGTAGGGACGTTCTCAAATTGAGGCACCACTGTATTGGACGACTAAAAATAACTAAATAGGAAGTTTTCATGGATGAAATCCACTTCCTCAGGCTAAGCACATTTCCTTCTTGGTCAGTGCAGAAAAATTACAGACAAGAGTCCTAAAACTGATGTTATATCTCTGTTTTAGAACATAGAGGAGAAAGGGATCTTCTTGAGACTGGGTCTCTATTGTCTCTGCAACAAGGTCTGGAATTTTTACACCTCAGTTCTTGAGACCAAAACAGAGTAATTGAGGCAATTACTCTGTGACTGTATGGTTAATATATTACCTAACACAGTGAACTAAAACAAACACACACAGAGAAAGCAAGATTCAGAAACTTGGACTATTATTTGTCAAGGTTAATAAAAAATGACTCATACCAGAAAACGAATTTAGAATCCACAACCTTGTCATTATGCAAGTCATCACTAACAAGAAACATGTGACTTCCTTTGCCTAACTTGGAGCACTGAACTCTTGAAGCAAAGTTTAGCGTATAGTTCACTGTAGCACATGACACAGTACTGATCACAGTACAGAGATAGTTTACAATCATCATCCAAATGATGGAGACTGATTGGGATTTGGACTGAGCTCAAAGCCAGCACAACAGCCACAGAATGACTAATTTGTCTCTGCTTCACTTCTACATCTGTGAAATGAAGAGCAACTTTTGCACAAGAGTAGAAAAGAACACAAACAAAAAGCTAAAGGAATTACAATTAGCTTACTAAAGTGCAGACTACAAGTCAAAGATACTGACAATAAGCAAAATATAAACTCAATATCACACAGTTTTTCTACCTAAGCCATGTGAGGTTCTAACATAAATCATCTAAAAGTCACCAAATTGAAGATTTTTTCAATAAATCAGCCCAACTGACTTATTTTTTTAAAAGTATTCAGAAATTTAAACAGTATGGAGTACAGAAAGACATGTGTGTCCTTACTACAAATATTTACTAGAAAATATGCTAGCAGATATAGTCTTAGAAGAGGCATTCCCTTCTTCCTCAAGCAAAGTAAAAATTTCCTCTTCTAAGATTGTTGCACAAATCAGACTTCTGGCTACAAAACTCAGAATAAGAACATTTAAAGAGAGTTTGGCATAAATGTCTTGCTTGACAAGCCATAACTAGATTGCCACCGTCCATCTCCTAGAAGCAGATGCACCCTCAACACAGAAATGAATGCATGAAATTGATTGCTGTAAAGAGAGAAGAACTGGAAATTCAACCACAAGCTCTAAGCTATGGTTGTAAATCCTAGTTTTTCATGGTGCCTGAGCTGGGCCAGTGCTTACTGAGATACAAGACCCATTTAAAAACAAACAGAAAGTGTGTTTTTTCCCACATACAGATTTAGTAATATTGAACTGATGAAAGGATCTGATCAATCAACTTTAATCATGTGATTTATTTATTAATGAAGAACCCTCACCATTGGTTGAGTTAGAGAAAGACCAGTTTCCTTCAAGCCTCCTCGAAAAGTCATCTTTCTCTTCTGCTGTTCTGTATGAAGATCGACGATTTCTTATGGAGATATTTTCTTCACCCACCATGATAATTGTCTAGCACACTATAAGGCAGAGGGAGAAAAATATTAAGTCTCAAGCAACTCACCTGTTCAGTGACCAAGGAGCTATTATACTTTACTGTACTTCCAAGTTCCTAGCAAATGCCAGTGAACATTTTTAATGAGAAATCTTCAGACTGATGAAGGCTGTAAAACCAGAGAAAGCCTTGTGATATACTACTACAGTAGTTCCAAACGCAAATTCATTTCATCACACCCTTAACATGGTTTCTCTTTCAATGCACTTGTTCCAGCTGATTCTGACTGTCACAAAAATACAAGTGGGAGATGTCCTCTGCTATTATAATTGTTCATTCAAATTTGTCAAAGAAAATCTTCCCTAGTGATGTAAAATCTATCACTTTCAGTACTTGTGAAATATTTCAGTGTTTAGGAAAGATAATGAGGCACAGAGTGCACTCATGCCCTCCTTCCCTCTTTCTGTGATGGTGCCTGAAGCCTTTTTAAAAACTTGTTTAGGTAATTCCGCAAATGGCTTGCTGTAAACTTGTTTAAGAGTCTAGCACAAGGCGCTCCAATAGAGATCTCTCTCACTTCCTCTGAAACACTTTGATTCAAGAACGGTTTTCCTTGAAGTGTGAAAACTTTTAACTCATCCGTTTAACAAACCTTGCTACAGTATATAAAAGCGGGAGAGTCTTTAACTCATCCGTTTAACAAACCTTGCTATATAAAAGCAGGAGAGTTCCAGGATCTGAAACATGGTATTTGAATCTGTTGACTTGCTTCCATGCTTTCTTTTCCTACTCTAATTTAAATATTCTGAATTGTGATGCCTAGAATTTAAGAATGAAAAGTGCACATATATTATAAGAACTGCATTTGTATGTTGAAGTGCACATATATTATAAGAACTGCATTTTCCTCAAGTCTGGTTCAATCGAAGCTACTTTACCTGCATGTCATGCAAATGTGACCAGGTAACCCATTTGACTATTCTTCACAAAGATAATTCAGCCCCGTATTAGTCCACAAAACAAAATAATATCCATTAACCTATTCTTCTGTTAAAAGTCAACTGGCCACAAAAAGCTTTGTTACATGAAAAAGCCAGAGGCATAATAAAACAGTCCATTTCCTATAACTTATTTTTAGACCACAGTGTTTGCATGTATCATATCCTGAATTCAGATAATTTTACAGAGAATTTAGAGAAAAGGCTACATGAGAAAGAATTATAAAAAAAGAAGTACAAGCAATAAACACAGTCACTAGTAATGAGAAAACCAATGCAAACAGTAATGACCATAAATAATAGACATTAACTACACAGTAGTTGTGGGAATGTAAACATATCTGAAAAGGTGATCACATTAAACAAACTTTCTGCCTATGCAACACATTGGATTATAATTTGTGGAAGTTTATAGCAAATAAAAGCTGTTACACTGGTGCCTCGAGTTACAAATGTCCTGACTTACGACCATTTCGAGTTATGACCAGCTCCGGCCACAAAATTTTGCTTCGACTTGCAGCCAGAGCTTCCAGTTACAAACAGAAAAAGGCAGGGAAAGGGGGGAATTCAAATTGCTAACTGTTGGTAGGCGAAGAGGCTGCTTCTTTGTAGCTCTTTCGCCCCAATGGTTAGAGTGAGTGCGACTGGAGGAGGCTTCGAACTGCCTAGTAGGGTAAGGTGCTGCTTTCTGCTTTCTAAAAACTGTTTTGGGTGGGTTTTGCAGCGTGGTTTTGGGCTGGGTGGTGGGATTATCTTTCAATGCTGTGAAGGGTCTTATAGGGCTTGTTAGTTTCTTGTGTTTTTTCCCCCATTTCCGATGGGTCTTGGGGGTTTGTTTGCTTTTGAGGTTTTTTTCCAGTTCCTATGGGTCTTGGGGGTTTGTTTGCTTTCCGCTTTGCTTTTTTGCATTTCCAATGGGTCTTGCATGGTTTGCTTGCTTTTTGCTTTGCTTTTTTGCATTTCCAATGGGTCTTGCATGGTTTGCTTTCTTTTTGCTTTGCCTTTTTTGCATTTCCAATGGGTCTTGAATGCTTTGCTTGCTTTTTGCTTTGCCTTTTTTGCATTTCCAATGGGTCTTGAATGCTTTGCTTGCTTTCTGCTTTACCTTTTTTGCATTTCCAATGGGTCTTGCACGCTTTGCTTGCTTTTTGCTTTGCTTTTTTTGCATTTCTGAAGGGTCTTGCATGGTTTGCTTTTCTCTCCCCCCCCCTTCGGCCAGAACGGATTAATCACGTTTCTGATGGGTCTTGCAGTGGTTGATGGGTTTTTTGGTGATTTTTTTCCTTCGGCCAGAACAGATTAATTGCATTTCAATGCATTCCTATGGGAAATGGTGCTTTGATTTATGACCATTTCGAGTTACGACCGGAGTTCCAGAATCAACTAAGTTCGTAAGTCGATGCATCACTGTACTTTATAAGGCGCAACAAGGTAACATAATCAAATATCTTGAAAATTTCTTTTTCAGCTTCGTATCAAACCACACAAGAGATTCACAGCTGCTTTTGGGCATATATACCTAAACTGCACATATATGTCAGAACAGTAATAGCTGGGAGGGAGTGGGGAAACTTGCCTAGATGGTGCATTATTATTTGTTCTTGTAGGAGTACTGGGTTCTGCACAGATTTTATCAGCACTTTCCATACCATCCATACCATGTAAAACTCATCTTGCTGAGTTCAGTGCCTTTTGCCATAACTATCCATACCTTTTCAAGATTCCTAAAAGCAGGGTAATTTTTAGTTCTGCTTTTTTTCCAGATGGCACTTCTCATAGGTTGACACTCATGTCCAGTGTAAGCCTTCAGGTTGGAAGCATTCAATTAACACTCAAACAATGAAACAAAAATCTCCAGAAAAGAAACTCTTGTCAGAGAAGTAGAGTTCTATTTTTTAAAAAATGCTGTTTTTAAAAGAATTCTTAAATATGACTTTGAGAAGCAAATAAAAATCTGGAATACACATTTTTTTTAAAATTAATTTTATCTACACTGGGCTAAAATTCAGGATGCCCAGTATATGGGCATACATAAGTAGAAAGACATTGCTTACCTGATGTTGTTAAGACTGCAGACCCTGTCAACCACCGTCAGCATAGCCAATAATGGGAGGTAATGAGAACTGCAGTAATATCTGGATGGTTACAGATTCCTATCTCTGAGATGCTACAGATGTTTACTGCCATTGACTGTCTAACTCAATTCAAAGTCCAAAGTCCTCCCTCAGCTATTATGCTACTATCACGGTGGTGGTCTTTGACTTTCTCAACTTGAAACCCTACCTGGCAATGGCAGGAATTGTAATCTTTCATCTCCAGAAATGTATCGTAAAACAAAACAAAACTATTATGATGACTTTAAGACTAACAGATATATTTCAGGTAAAAGTATTTCAATGTGAGTTCTTATTTATTCATTTAAAATAGTTTTATCCCACCTTTCTCCTTAAAAAAGATCCAAGGCAATATTTAAAACAGTAAGTATACAAATATTTTAAAATAATTAAATTGTATTAAAATATTTGTGGATTACCATCCACTTCCTCAGATGCATGGAGTCTTAACCCATGGAAACTCAAACTGAAATAAATATGTTGTCTTAAAGGTGCCATAATACATTTGCTTTTGTGATATATGCTGAAGCAGACTAATTCAGCCACCTTTTCAAAACCCTCTGGAGGGGCCAGGTTCAGGAAAACAACAACAAACCTCTCTCTACAAAATACCTCTTGGGCTAATTTGGATTCACAAGAATTTATGATGATGAAGAGTCAGTCTTTTAATCTCTAATTCCAACAAGATTTTGCAAAAGGGAAGTGGAAAAATGTTGCAATCACCACAAGAGAATTTTAAACAGTTCAAAACGTCTGTACACTTGACAAACCAGGGAGAGGAAAGTTTACCAAGAGGTCTTAGAGATTACAGAATGCCATGTGATACAACTGCTAAAGGAAACAGGTATTTAAATAGGAATATGACAACCATGAGAAAAGCAATTTTTATATACTGTACATAGTGGAAAAACAGACATTAAAAAGCAATGGAGCTTCCAGACAGATGGTTCTTTAGTGCTCAGAATGTTTAGTTGTTCCACCTTCCTACCCACCCCTTAACATTTAAGAAAGAAAAGACAGAAAAAAATCATTGGAAAACACTGGAGGGCTCCAAATGGAATACCTGAATCTCATTCTGTTACTTTGTGATATAACAGTAAAACATTTCCCCTAACCTGTCCACATTCTTATTTTTATTTCCAAAGAAACAGATCAGCATTCTTGTAATATCTGACACCTTAAAGAGATCAGCAAATTCTTATTTACTTACTTTGAAGGGTACAAGGAAGGGACGTGGTGGCGCTGCGGGCTAAACCGCAGAAGCCTGTGCTGCAGGGTCAGAAGACCAAGCAGTCGTAAGATCGAATCCACGTGACGGAGTGAGCTCCCATCCCTTGTCCCAGCTCCCACCAACCTAGCGGTTCGAAAGCATGCAAATGCAAGTAGCTAAATAGGGACCACCTCGGTGGGAAGGTAACAGCGTTCTGTGTCTAAGTTGCACTGGCCATGTGACCACGGAAGATTGTCTTCGGACAAAACGCTGGCTCTATGGCTTGGAAACGGGGATGAGCACCGCCCCCTAGAGTCGAACACGACTGGACAAAAATTGTCAAGGGGAACCTTTACCTTTACCTTGAAGGGTACAAAGAGTGAGAGATACTGATAAACAGTGGGGTCAAAAGGCAATGAAATGAAACCATATTGTGTGTGACAATTTAATTACAGTAAAGCCTGTTCTGTATCATCACAAACTGCTTTTTTTTTCTTTTTTTTTTTTTTTTTTTTTTTTTTTTTTTGCATTTCACTGCCACTGGATGCTATTGCTTATCATTATTTTTGCCATGCCTGTGGCTGGTGGAAGTCTCATCATTCCCCTATAAACCTGTTGGAGATTGTTGACTTTCTTCTAATAATCGCTGCCTTCGTCTCTCCGCTTGTCTCCCGCTACTTACTGTTGGAAGTCAAACTGTAAATTCACAGGGGGCCCTGGACCTTTTAAACAACAGCAACAACACAACCTGACTGATTCTATTACGTACTATGTATGAAACTCTTAAACACACAACACGAAGGCTGACTACTTGTCCAGCCAAACCCCCCGGGCGGAGAGTGGGGGGCGCGGGCGGTCAGGAGGGATGCTCTCTTGCCCGCCTCCTCCTCCTCCGACGGCCGAGGCAAAACGAAGGCGGGAGGGAGGGAGAGAAGGCCACTCGTGGAACCAGAAAAATCTTCGAAACGTGTGGATGTGCCCAACACGACATTTCTTGGTTTACCCTTTCCTCTGCTACACGCCTCTCTGAAGCCATCCTGGCTGACTCATGAGTAAATATCCGGATGACTGTAAACGCCGGAGATCTCTCCACGCCTGTGGCTCCTCAGAAGCCTTGGAAGGGGGGCGGTGGCGGTGTTTGTCGGTCTTTAAACCGGAGGGGCGGCAAAGCCGGCGGGCTTTTTTTTTTCTTCGTAGATTCTCTCCCCCGCCCCCCGTCGCAACCCCCTTGAGGAGATTCAGAGCCGCTCCCGACCTGGTCTGCCCACTCGAGCCCACCTCTCCTTCCCCACGCTTTACCTTCCAGCCCGGCCGGGAGGATGTCCGCACAACCCTCGCTCCGTAACGGGCACCTCGTTTCCCGCAACTCCACCCCGGCTTCCGAAGCCGCTTCCACCGCCGCACCGAACGAACGCGACGAGACGGCCCGCCCCCTTTGGCCTTCGTCACGGAAGGGAGGCGAAAGCAACCGCGCGCAGCCCCCCCCCCACGCTCTCGCAAGGGGCCAGGCAAGCCTGGCTGCCCATTGGCTGAGAGCCCCCCGAGGCCGCCAAACATTGGTCACAGGCCCGAAGCGGGGGGGGGGCGCCCTGGAGCCACCTCCTAGTACATGAGGCGAGACTAGAGTTGCCCAGCAGGCTGAGGAAGAAGGAAGCGCCTTCCTCCCCGCCCCCGCCAAGATGCTGAATGAGAGGTTAGAACCGCAGGTTGAAAGTCCTCGGCTTTCGGGATGCTGACCTCTTCCTCCCGCTCTGCGCCATTTGCAGCCTGAACTGGTACTGTCCTTCCTACCGTCTCCGAAGGAGGACTCTACCAGCTTGCAGTACGGTAGGAAGTTCATAGCACCTCTACAGAACGATGCTTAAGAAGTGAAGGTGTAAATCAGACAAGAAACAGAACAAAACAAGAACAACAAAAATTAAGGAGACAAAAACGTGGTGGCACGATAAAGAAGAACTGCTATGTTTTAATGTGAGCTTTCGTTGATCAAGTCCACTTCCTCAGACCTCATATTAGAATATAACAGTCCTTATCATAACACTATGTTTTTGTCTCCTTTTAAAATTTCCTTTCTTCTTTTCTTTTTGTTTCTTGTCTGAGATGCTTGCACGGACAAACTGGGCAACCACTTGAAATACTGTACTATAAAGGTAAAGAGGAGATCTCCTTTGAAAAGGATAAGTTGTCCATAAAAACTTCAGCAGAATAAAATAGCATCCTTCAACCAACCAAAGACAGCTGCTTTTCTCTCCGCCCCTCTGTGCCTAACCAGCAGCTTTGATATTGTTCTGGGAGAGAAATACATAAAGAAGTACATCAAATACATAAATCATTCTCACACACTTGTAAAGTTGAATGGTTTGGCATAGTACTGTTACATCCCCAACCAGGTTCCCTATATGGAAGACAAAGGTGTGCTTTGCTGTAGATACAGCCACTGGTCATTCTTGTACCTATACTGTATTGCTAGTGTTCAAAACCTTCCAATAACCGCACTGTACATTTGAACTCATTTCTATTCAACGGTTTCCAAGACTCAGGGAACCAACTGAAATCTCAAGGAATTACTGCACTTCCCCAAGCATTAAAACAAAATCTGTGGGTAGGCAGGAGAAAAAGTTTTCAAAGCCCTACAAGACAAGCTGCAGACCACAACAAAACACCCCCTATTATTTAAATGGAAATCAATATTTCTTACTGGGGAAATGAGAAAGCTGGCAGCAAAGTGGATCCCCAACCTTTTGACAACCAAACAAAAGAGGAAATGTGTGGAGTCATCGGTGGCTGTTTTGGAACATTTTGCAAGAAATGAGTCAGATTTCCTGGGCAAACTGGTAACTGGTGATGAGACATGGATCTATTGTTATGAACCTGAGACAAAGGAACAATATAAGGAATGGAGGCACAGTGGTTCCCCCCAGGCCAAAGAAGCTCTGAGTGCAAAGGTCAGTGCAGAAGGAAATGGCAACATTTTTGGGGGGATATGAAGGGAGTTCTGCGGTGGTACTACCTCCAACAGGGTTCAACCATCAATGCAAAATATTATTGTGCTTTATGGACAAAGTTGAGGCAAAACATCAAGGAAAAATGTAGAGGAAAGCTCTCCAAAGGTACTGCAGGTGAAACAATCACAACACTGACCTTAGGCTTTCAAGTGATGTCCCATCCACCCTATTCTCCCAGCCTGGCTCCTTCTATCATTGGTTCCCCAAACTTAAAAACCACCTAAAGAGACAATGATTTGGGAGTGTTCTGGAGGCAACTAATGCTGCAAATGAGTGGCTACAGCAGCAGTCGAAATAATTTTATTTGCAGGGACTTAAGAAGCTGCAGGACAGATGTCGCAAGTGTGTTGACTTCCTGAGGGAATGTGTAGAATAGTGTGGCAGTTACAGCTTTCTAACTCAATTTTTTCTGGGTAAAGCTCAGTACTTGTCAGCACCCCCTCGTAGAACAGAATATGGAAAAACAGAATGGTTTCCTGTATGCAAAGGTGTCAGACAAGAATACGTTTTATGCCCTTATCTGTTCAATCTGTACATATATGGAAAACCAGACTAGATTCAGATGAAGGAGGAATGAAAATTGGTGGAAGAAGCATCAGTACAGTAGTTTAAAATATGTGGATTAAGCCATTTTACTGGCAGAAAGCAGCAGAAGTGACTCTTAGCAAAAGTGAAAGAAGGCAGGATTGCAATTGAACATTAAGATCAAAATCTTGACTGCAGAAGAACTACACAACTTTAATGTTGACAATGAAGAATTTGAAATAGTGGAAGTTTTTAAATACCTTGCTTCAACATCAATCAAAATGGGGACTATAGCCAAGAAATCAGAAGGGAACTTGGACTCTGAGGGGCAATCATAAAGGAATTTAAAAAGATCATTCAGTTGAAGGACGTGTCACTGGAGACCAAGTCCAAGATCATCAACACTCTTGTATTCATGATCACATGTATGGGTGTGAAAGCTTGACAGTAAATAAAACTAAGAGGGGAAAAATGATTTGTTTGAAATACAATGCTAAAGGAGAGCTTTCTGGATACCTTGAACTGCCAGAAAGGCAAACAAGTCCTAGAGCAAATCAAGCCTGAACTATTTCTGGAGGCAAAAATGTTTAAATTGTGGCTGTCCTACTTTGGGCACAGAAGGCAAGTGGGAGACCAGAAGTGAGAGAGAGAGAGACCCTTCTCGCGGAGGTGCCATCCCTCCCGCCAACCGCTGAGAAAGAAAGTGATACCCCGCCAGTTCCCCCCCACCCAGGAAGACAAGACCACCCAGACCAGACCTGAGGAAACCTAGAGAAGGGTTTAAATGAACTAACGGTTAAAGAGACCGGCATTCTCTTGGTGTGCGCAGGAGAAAAAGGGTGGGAAGTAGTGGAAGTGGGGTTGGGGGATATAAAAGGAGGAGAAGGGGAGTTTCCGGGTAATTGGGAATGGATTTGGATAGAAGACCCTTGGATGGGGCAAGTGGAAAAGCTACGGGTTCCAAAGGAAGAAGCGGATGCACGGAGGAGGAGAGAACTCACTCCCAAGCCATTATACTGGAGTGAGAAAGAGACCAAGGAGTGGCAGAAGAAGTTAAGGGAAGAGAAGGAGAAGGTTGAGAAGGAGCGGAGAGAGAGGGTGGAATGGAGGATGTGGGAGATGCCTCAGAGAGGAATCAGAAGACCCCATGGCAGACGGGGGAACCCACCCAGGAGTGGACTTTTGAGAGGAGGACACCACCACCCTATTGGAAGGAGAGAAAGGATTATTATGAAACCCGGACACCCCACCTGAGTGGCCCGGTCCTTGGAATGTTCAGAGTGGAAAACCCTTTTAAGTTTGAAGATTGGAAACTCCCGGTTGACTGGTTGTCTGATGTTGAGAAAGCTTGGAACCTGTCTGTTGATGCTGGACTGTTATTAAATAATCCAATAAATGTTACCCCTATTGCAAAATCTAAGAAATCTGGTGATTTATTTGGAGCAAATGTGGAGCCACACTTAGAACCCTCACAACAAGATTCTCTGGGAAAGATAATAATACTGGAAAAGGTTGAAGGCAGCAGGAAAGGAAGAAGATCAGATACAAGAAGGACTGATTGATGAAGGAAGCCACAGGCTTGAGTTTAGAGGATATTGTTGAGGACATAACATTTTTGAGATCTCTCAGTCATAAAAGGTAAAGGTAAAGGTTCCCCTTGACAATTTTTCTCCAGTCATGTTCGACTCTAGGCGCGGTGCTCATCCCCGTTTCCAAGCCATAGAGTCAGCGTTTGTCTGAAGACAATCTTCCGTGGGCACATGGCCAGTGCGACTTAGACATGGAATGCTGTCACCTTCCCACCGAGGTGGTCCCTATTTATCTACTCGCATTTGTATGCGTTCGAACCGCTAGGTTGGCGGGAGCTGGGACAAGCGACGGGGGCTCAGTCCACCACGTGGATTCGATCTTACGACTGCTTGGTCTTCTGACCCTGCAGCACAGGCTTCTGCGGTTTAGCCCACAGCGCCACCACGTCCCCTCTCAGTCATAGGGTCAGTATAAATCAGAAGCAACTTGACAGTACAAAAAAGTGTAACAACAACACTTGAGGTCTTAGTTCATGTGACAAGAAGTTTAATTTTAAAATATAAACATTTTGATGTACCTATAAATGTAAACATTTTATTATTTTTAAAAAGTTTACATTTTATAATCTACAAATGGAAATGATGCCCATCATTATTCCTAGATTACAGAGAACAATGGCTTACAGCAACCTTGCAAAGTAGTCCAAATTTATTAGACCAATGCTGAAATATCACCCAGTTTTACCTACTTTCTTCCTGGTATTTAGGGGAATTAAATACAGTATGTGTGCAAGGGCACTTTCATAGAACTGAAAGAAGAACTGTATGTATATATGTGTGTATTTAACTACTGACATGCCTTTTTCCCTTTAGAGGGGCCCAAGACAGCTTACAAATGATTTAGAAAACACAAATGTTGAAACATTTATAAATGCAATAAATAACACTATTAAAAAGAATTTAACATATTCATTTTAGGTACTAAATAAAATCAATTTAAAACAAATTTAAAACACATTTAAAACATTAAAAAGATAGGTGCTATTAGGTTGGCCTTTGAGAAATAAGGGAACTCTCACTCTGAAGACTATGGATATGGAATATGAGTGCCATAAAAGCCAGCCCCTTTGCAGAGACTATTGTCCAATTGTGCAATATCCTCCAGTTTTGATTAGTGGAAGGTCTAGCCAGGAAACCAGATAAATTAAAATTGCAAACAGAGAAATAAAACTTGAAATAGTAATCAAACTGACCTTATAATCATAACATTTTTATTAATTATAAAAAGTCTTCCTAGTTATAAGTGGTCTAAATCATTATGCATAGGAGACCACATTATTGGATATGTATTGGAGAACAAAAGATAACTTGGTA